CCATTGAGCTGCTGCAGTACGTTGTCCTGGCAAACACCTCAGCAACTTGAAGATGCGATTGTCCACCTTCACAAACGCCACCTCTGCTTCTGGTTGTGCTGCCATGAGGAAAGCGTCCTTCACATCCAATGTCATGACAACAAATCCCTTCTCACATTCAACAGATAGTGGATGAGCATCTTGGGTAGTACCATCAGCGAAGTGGGGGCAAATGTTTGCTCAATGTCGATGCTGCTGCGAAACTGCCTTGCCACAAGTCTTGCCCTTCTGAACCATCCTCCTTTCTCGAGTCTGTGCTTCCAGCAATAGACTTCCTTCGTGGAGATCACATATCCTCCCGTGTTCTTCACCTCATTTTCGTCAGTCTCCACCATTGCTGGAATCTCGAGCATTCTGTTCAATTCTGTCTCCCTGGCCTTCTCATCCAAGCGCTGTAGATGTTCTGGGCTCACCTCAGGCGGGTCATCATTTTCGTCTCCAGCACAGTCAATGAACTCCTCCTCCAACAGTTCGTCTGGAATCCATTCGATTCCGAACTCCTCATCTCCATGAGCTTCAATCCTGTTGAGCCCTGCGTAGTATGGAGGATACAGTTGACTGCTAGGAGATGCGCTTGGTGAGCCCTCCAGTTGTGATCCTGAGTGCATAGCTTCTGGAGGGAGTCTTGTTTCAGACCTGTGCTTCTTCTCAGGCTCTTCCATCTCCTCCTCTGTCAATGCCCTCTTGTCTTGTGTCCTCCTTGGAGAAATTGTCGTGTCTGTTCTTTTGGCCTCATGTTCCTCGTCTTGCTCCTCAATGGGCCTCTTAACTTGTACAGTACATTCTTCGGTGATTCTTGCACATCTTCTCTCCTTGTAGCTGGAGTAGCTGGAGCAGCATTGCCAATCATGGCAGGTGTCATAGGCTGTCCTTGTAGCCCTGGTGCCGGGGTGACGACTCCTGATGCCACTGCATTTGCGATCTCCTTCATCTCTTCTTCACTGGCCTCAACCTCCAATGTCGGCTGTCGATACTTCTGAGCTTGTCCAGCATGTTTCATCAGGATCCGCTGGGGAGAATAGCTCCATGGGAGTCCCTTTGCTGTGAAGATATCGACCCCACTGAAGTTTTCTGCCGTAGACAACCTTCTTATAGTCCTGGATTCATATGCTCCATTTGGGGTCAACACGATGTGGTTGTCATTGAATGGATGCTTTCCAACCCAAACACCTCTTTCAAAGATATTGCTGCCTTTGTATTTGACCAACCTCTTGAACATCACGCTCTCTCCGAAGATCGCCAACTTTCCGTTGTATGAGTGTCCTGTGGCCAACTCGAAACTCGTCTTCTCAATATTTGTCGAGTGGCTCTTTCACTGTCGGCATCTGTCCCTTGAACTGTTCTCAAGACTGAACCTCACTACTTCCTCTGTGACGGTTTTCAGACTTGCACTTCCCTTTGTCGGCACTGGCACCACGTGTATTGCTTTTGTAGTGGCTGATGTCATCACCAAACATGTTCCAAACTGATCCTGTCTTTCAACCACCTTTCCTGTGCCAGTCTCCTCAACTCTGCCATCCTCCTTGTCTTCTTCACCTGTATACGTGTAGCAGAAATCGAGCTGGATGACGTTCTTTCCAGCATCTTCTTTCTTGTCAGAACTCTCATGTTTGTCTTCTTTGGCTCGACTGGCAACACATGCTTGGCACCATGCTGCATAAGGCCAATGTGTGACGTTGTGAACCTCTTGTTCCTCTAGGCTCGGCAATTTTGGTTGCCCTAGTGTCACTGGCCTCCTTCGCTTCTCCTCATACAGCTTGTTCGCCACTGCCATGTGCATCTTCGTCTCCATCTGCACCTTGTAGTTGACCAGGCGTTCTAGCAATTTCTTCTTGCTTCCTGTGTGTGCCAACTGTCTCTCCTTACATGCCAGCTGAAGTTCTTTGACTGTCGTCTTCTCAGAATAGGTCACCTCGTCAAGCTCTACTTCATCCTTCTTCTCCGCGACAACCATCTTCTCCACGTCATGGAACATTTCTCTCCTTTCAAGCTCTTCTAGTTCCTCGCGTTCATCCTCTGACCAGTCTGTCTGGTTGATGACGGCTTCAGTCAAAGGATATGGTGCCATCACATCCTCTTCATCCTGAAGATCCATGGCCACTATAGCCACGTTCTCAGGAACCTGTACTGCTGGCTCAAAGCACTCCATATAGGCATCCTCGAACTCATGGTGCTCCTCAACGTCATAGAACACCTCATTCTCCACCAGTTCAACCATCCCCACACGCCAAGGGTGCTGAATTTCACTCTCTCCCCTTGGTGTGGTCAAATCAAAGATCTCTAGGGCGTTCACGTCTGGTGGAGTTTCCAACCTCACCATCTTGACTGAAGTTCGATGCCCAGTGCTACTTGTCTGCCCGGGTCCAGCCTGTCCTGTCGACGATGAATTGGCCCCTCCAGCATTGATGTTTGCGTTGTCCTCAATCTGGTTGACTCTCTTCCAACATTCACGGGCAAAGTGTCCAACTTTTCCACATAGATGACATGCATTGCTCTGTTTGCCACCTTTTGAGCCCTTGTCGGAGTTCTTTCCTTTCTTGCCAGGGCCCTTCTCCCACATGGATTTGCCCTTGTCGTGGCCCTTCCATGAGCCTTTGCCATCCTTCTTGCCTTTGTCTTTGCCTTTCTCCTTTCCTTTAGTATCCTTTCCCTTTGCTTTTCCTCCTTTCTTCCCCTTGGACTTGCCGATGTAGTCGACCTCCATGGGTGCATAGTCATCTCCTGTGACTCGGGTAGGCAGCATCAACGAGTTTGCACTGTCCCATTTCGTGGTGACCGCCTCCAACTGGATGATGCGGTCCTTCAACTGCTCATACGTTGTAGTATTTGCGAGCCACATGTGGAGATGTTGTCGAATTTGGGAAGGACAAGCAAGAAGTACAGCTGCTACCTTGGCATCATCACTGTATCTCTGACCTGAAATCCTCTCATACTCAAGGATTAGGGCTTCAAATTGCGGCAATTGCTCGGACACAGTCTTGCCATCAGCGAACTGAATCCTCGACAATCGACTTAGCAAAGCCAGAGATCGCTCTTGTTGCATGTTGCATCTCCTTGATGAGGACCTGCCATGCTTGGAAACCGCTCACATTCTTCACGTGTCTGATCAACTTCAAAGGTCGTAGCCTCAAGAAAGAGGTCAAGAGGCTGTAAAGGCGGATCGCCTTGGCTTTGGTCTCATCTGTCATGTCTCCAAGGCTGTAGTCAGCGTCGATGTTTTCCTCGACCATGTCCATGCTTTGTGCCATGGATGGATCCAAGCCTTTCACGCAATTCAGAAATGAGAATTTCCAGACGCTCCAACCTTTCAACTCTGCATCTCTGCTGTCAGGCTTGAACACGTCTGGACTCTTCAAGTGTCTTGCCCAGCCTTGATTCTGTTGGCTGAGGGTCAGCCTCTCCAAGGCCGTTGCAACTAGTCTCAAGCTCTCCTCGGCCATGTTCTTCCAACTCCTCACGTCCGGGTAGAAGGTATTTGAAGTCAAAGAGACAAAGGGTTCCTCCTCTCCAAAGATCAACCCTGAGTAGACCAGCTGCTCCCAGAAATGCCAGTTGCACACTAGCTCACCTAGGACTTCTGGTTCTGTGTCTTCTATCAATTCCTCAATTCGTCCCATGAACTTCCACTTGGCGGGAACCACCACAATCACCTCTTTCAACACTGAAGTGTTCTTCTTCCTCGCTAAAGTCACTGATGCTCTGACTGTTTTCGCTCCTCTCACCCACCTTATCCGTGCTTGGAACTCTGCAATCTCGATGTTCAGCACGTGGATGTAGCAAAACTTCACCTTCTCATGTTGTTGGAGTGGAAGTACAGAATCTCCTGGAGTGTGGCCGACCCAGCTCCACCTGCAAGGCCTGCTAGGATCAGCAGCTCCAGCAACCAAATCGCGGATGTCGTGGGCCCTTCCCTGGATCGTCTCCTGGTACTCGACCTCCTCAACTTCGTCGTGGTGTCGTATGTAACGGAGTTCGGTACTTACGACCAGAGCTCCGCTACAATGAAAGGCGCGGGCGCTTTTTCTTCAAAGGGCTTAGAGCCTAGTTGTGCGTCGGTCGTGTGGACATGTATGCATGGGTGACTGCAACCTTCGATTCGGTAAACTCTGACAAAACGGGTATCTAGATTGAAGTTGTATGCAATTGCACTAACATCTTTAGAATTAAGTACTTGAAAAAAATATCGGTAAAACTAAAAACCAAACAGCTTTCGGAAAGCCAAAACAAACAATATATTAAAAAAAATATTCAAAAACTCTTGGCAGCACCCCCCCTTCCCCAAGACTTCCCCAGACTCTTTATGGGTTTCCTTCTTTCTTTTCTGCACTTTGTTTTCTAGGACAATGTGTGCTGTTCCCACCGGGTTTTCCACTAGTCTCACCTAAAAACCTTCGGACTTCCTTCTTAGTATCAAAAGGGTCTGAGCCCAACATTCCCCTTGCCTTTGTCCAAATCTCTATGTAGAAGTCATGTGGGTGCTGTAATTGTGATTCATTTTTAGTTCAGCTAAAATCCTTTCAACCGTGCTGTAGTTCTAATGTCATGCAAACCTGTTTCCTTTGGATTCGTGACATTTTTTGTTTAAAAAACTCGTATTTCTGAAGTTTTCCTCTAGGTATCTGGGCATGATTTCGGTAGTGAAACATCGATTTAGAAACTGTCTTCTGGATCCAGATATGTGTGTTTTCCCTATCGTTGCAACCACTCTTGCAGACTCAAAACCTGATTTAAATAAATAGAAAAAGGAACAAGGCACAGGCCCACATGGTGCGCCGCTCTCTAAATGTGCATGCACCAAAGCAGGCTTGACGGAGTACATACATGTTTCGTATGACCTTCACACTGCATGTGAGAACTTGGTATCCTTCACAAGTTGTAATAACATGCGGGAACACATTTGGTCCTGTTGCAGTGCATTCGCTTCATGGCTGAACCTTACAACACTGACTGGGCCCCTGCACTCTTGTGCCGGAGTTGTGGATATCTTTGTCTCATGGTGCTTGCTCCTGCTTTCCCAAGTCACTGCAAGTTCGCCAAAACCATCATTTTGTTTTTCAGTTTCAGTTGCGCTTTGCACTCTGCACACTACCACCGCAAACGGTTTTTGGTCATTCATATGTCATAAGCACAACTCTTTCAGCTGGCTCCGTGAAAAAGCCGCGTGCATCCTTGAGGAACGTGGCGGGGCCTTGCGCAACCAGTTCAATGATCACAGTGCCCCGGTCCACGCAAACATGTCAACAGCCCAAATAGTGAGTTGAAGAGGAATCGAACCCTAGGTTTGCGGGCAGTAGAAAACAACACCTTTATATGTAATTGTTTGTTTCCTCCCTGCCTGTCCCTTAGTGCAGGAAACGTTCAGTCCCACCTTGCCTCATTTGATAGAGAAATGTGGCTGTCCGTGATATGAAGCAACCGCACCGAATTGACATCCTGCGAACACAGGTTTCGAATGACAATGACAAGAAACGCAATTCCGGGCCCAACGCAAACCAATTGGCATGAAGCGAAATCAACCAACACGGGTGCATGTTCTGCGCCTGATCGCTGCCCACCGCATTGCACAAAATGTTAAAAATCAGATGGAAACTCCACACATTGAAAACCATCCTAAACACCGCACTGGAGCCAACCCGCGCCATAACAGCACCCAATAGCTTTACGCAGTGTGCAACGTAGGGTGGTTCGAACAACCTGCTCCCGCTCACAAGGGGGCACAACCTGGGGGGTGCATGACGCAACTTGACTTTGGAAGCTCTTACTCCTAAAATACGCCATGTTCCTAAATGTTTCTAACAATTTGAGGGCGGCGTGTGCAGCCCTTGTTTCGCATGATTCTGTGAAAGGCGGGAGCGGCAACTCACGGCACGCACCACAGCCAAAGCAGCACTTGAATGACCCTGGCTCCCCGTGGGGAACGCCAAACGCCACACGAAACACGCGAACTACAGGCACATCAAACACAAGAACCGGGAGGTTAGCAGCAGCAACGCGTCAACAAAGTAGCACGACACAATTCTGACAAACACGTCCTGCGCAAGCAAGTTCGTTTCCACCAAAACTAGGAAAATCAATCGGCAAGGGACCCGGGGTGACGCGTGAAGTGAAGCTGAAGGGATTGCAAAATGCCACCCGCGAGGAGGGGGAGGTGGCTAGGTCCCCGGCAAGCCCGCGAGCCGAGGACTCCAGCAAGTCCCGCTGCCGCGCAGACCAGTGGCGACCCACTGCCGGAGAGCCTGCACGGCGACGTCGCAGATCCCCCACGAGCCGTGCCGCCAACGTGGCCCTTCGCGAGGCGCAGATTCTGACATGGGATGGCTCGAAAATTCGCATATAGCCAAGTTTTTAATTGTGGCGGGGAAACGTTCTTGCCTCCTTCATCTCGGGGCGTGCCAAACGCTGGATGGGTCCTGAGTTTCCAGCTTTGTCTCTGGAACCTTCTAGTTCAATAGCACATGGCCTGCGCGCAGCATGCGCAACGGATGCACCACGTTACGGAACTCCACCACACCATAGTTCGACCGGTCCATGGCAAGGTTGATGAAGGTTCTTCATCCCGGCACCACGTACAACAAACGATACTTGTGCATCTTGCCCACACTGGATCGTAGCTTGCCAAATGCACGGCACGAGCGGCGGACACTTGCATGAAGCTATGGCGGAAACCCAGTCACCACCAAAACAGGAACACCGAGCAGGCCCTGGCACACAAGAAACGCAGTCGTGGCCTACCACCACACGGGAGGGTTGATGCCACGTTTTTCAAAATGCATGTCAGTCTCTTAGTTCTTTGGTAGCCGCAGGGTCCATGTTCAACGTTGCCGAAAATTTACCGCGGAAATGGTTTTTCAATTGCTCCACACGTTGTCATGTGCTGGAACCAACCAGCATCAATTGTCGTGTTGCACTCACGTGGGGCAACAAGTGAGAGTGCAAACTTGAGGCCGCGGTTTGGTGACGAAAACTAGCAGGGCGGGGGTGGAACGAGGGACATCCGACCGAGAAAGGTAAGAAGATATAAGGCCCTCCCAAACTTACCGAGTCCTCCAAATTCGACGGGCGAAGTGCTTGGTGTGGGGAATTTTGCGGAATTGTTGAGCCAAACAGGCCGGGTCCCATTTCCATGTCTGCTGTTCAGATGGTCGCTAAGGATCGCTGCTTCTTGCTGGCCACATGCACCGTCAGGCCCCTGCCAGCGGAAATACGCACGTCGCAAAAACGTCCCAGGGAAGAGTTAAGCGGAGGGCCCCCCCTATATATCAGATTTCATGCGACGCGGCGCTCTTGAGGATTCCAACCCCTCACTTGCTAAAGCAGGAACAACTCCAGCTAGCTGGCGTTCGGTTTGGCGCTTATGGCCACGTTTGCGTCTCTTCCCTGACGGCCAACCCTGCTGACCCCCATCCAGATCAAAGCTACGCTTTTCGGGCCTTTTGTTTTGAGCCAAATGTTTGTGTGAAAAAAACCATCCAGTTGCGATTTTCCACCCCCACGATTAACTCGGGGAATGTCAGGGTTTTTTTTGCCGCGCATTTTTTCCGGCAACCATGTTCCACCCATGCTCCGCTAGCAGCTGCCCTCAGTGACAATTGCTGGCATCAATGCCTTTGTTTGAAAGGCACGGCGCAATCAGCAAGGTTGAGTGCGTCGCCGCCCCTGTGCCCATGGCAAATTTTTGCTTTCCATTGAGGCGTTGTGGCACCCAGTGGACTGCCTCACTGAAGGGCTGTAAACCATTTGCGCCGTCCACCTTGCACTAGACTTCGGCCAGCAAATTCAAGTCGTGTTCGCTCACATCTTGCCATCTGGTTTGCTGATGCCCAGTCCGGACGTCGCACGTCCACTTTCATTTTTTACTGCGACAGGGTGTGTCCTTAGCATGAGCCGGCCCTTATCAGGAGAACCACCGCTCGCTGGTCCCGGGAAGGCACACCCATCTCCAACAAACTATGTAGTTCCATTGGCTGCGTGCCGTCCGGCGTGCCCGGGGGTCATTACTTCAAAGAAGTCCTGCTGGGGCACTTTCGCCCAAAACTTGTCAGGCCAATCAGCTGCAACTGGGGTGGGCACGAGCACGCGCTGTGCACATGAACCAGTTCCACACAGTCGTCTCCCTCAAAATGACTGCACGGGCACAGGCGCTTTTGGAAAAGCAATAGAATCGGTTTAGTTCTAGGATGACTTTGACTTTTGATCCTAAAAACTCCGGTAAGAGTACGCAGAGGCACAGAAACGCTGGTCAAGCTCACCCGCACCCTAAGTGGGCAGAACCACGCAATGAGGACCATCAACCCAACTGACTGCCAAAGACATTGCATGTTCAGGCCCAGCAGTGCAACCTTGGCCCTTGCAGCCATCCTCCCACATGTTCGTTTCGCCCCTAAGAAGGTTCCGTGAAAGTTGTTCTTCCAACGGGATCTTTAGCACAGAAGGATTTCCAACCAATTGCACGCTGCAAAAAATGGAGGCTGTCGAACACTGGAGCATCAATTGTCCATGCAAATGATAACACCGCAGTGACGATGCATAAAAAACACCGTAATACCAACGCCCGCGGCCACAAAGGCGCTGCCACATCCTTGTCACTCTGCACTGGCCGATGTGGTGGCCACTGCCAGTTCATACGCCCCGGCGTGGCAATTTGGTACGGGCACGTACAAACTGCCACAGCTTCAGGACTGAACAGATGCAGGCAAGCATGGGCCCCTGAAAGCATACTAAACCAATTGTTCACTTACGTACGTAACGTGCAGGTGCGCGGAGCCGCGAAGGCATCGGACCAGAATTTGCCGTCACTTTTCATGGCACAGCATTGCCACAACATTCCTCAAGTTATTGGCAGCACTGTTTGTAGCACTCTCCGCGCGTTTCCGCCCACTTTCTCACCATCATCACCGTGCAAGCCGTTGGCACAAAGCACAAACTGCACCTGAGATTATTAACTAAGAAGATGATGCAACATTAAAGCCTCAAAAGTAAACATGCTGTTGGTGCACCACTCAATTCATGAGTCAATTGATAAGCAAAAACCTGCTGTAGATGTGGCAAGGAGTGTTGGGGACCACGGAATTTCCAGCATCAATGGAAATGTGTTTTCAATGTTGCTCAGGACTAGCGTCGTCTGTCCTGGCACTCGTTCGGGGTCTTCATTCCTGCCTGTGCTTCGCAAAAACATAAGTCTGCACACAGTCTACACCTTTGAACGTACGCCTTTTTCGTAAAAACAAATGTTTAGGTTTCGGCCAAAAATGCGCTGCAACCCCAGGCGTGTGAAAAATAATGCTAGCTACATGGTGCGAGCGCACTGCCAGAGGCGCAAGCAAAGCGGTGTTTCTGCCACCAACCAAAATGCAGTTTGTGCAAAAAAAACCTGCCACCGTTTGTTGAACAAGCGCCACAAAAAACAAAGTTGCAGCAACCAAAAACGAATTGGAATGACGAGAGGTCATCGTGCACACATAGAAGAAACAAAAACGCATGCAACCCAACTAACTGCATGCTCCAACCGCATCGCAACGTTTGGCGGGTTCGTGGTGTACATGACCCACGAACCATGACCCAAACACCATTAAGTCGCTGCTAGTTTAGTGTCAAGGTCGGACGAATTCGTGATGAAAATTTGGCATTGGTTCGGGCTGCACATGGCATGGTGTGCTGTGGGCGCAGCACTCATGTGACAAACCCGTTCAATGCTGCGTTTTTGAGCGCGACGCTGCCATTTTTTTGAATTTGCGAAGCTCGAAGTCTCTTTTATGACTCGGGCCTAAAAGGTAGGCGGGTTCATGACCTGTGGTTCATGCTTGAGTGGATGCTTCACTTGACTGTTGACTGAAATCGAACACGCCCTCTCCACTCAGGCATCTACCACACAGCGGAAAGTGTTGTGAAGTTGCGCCTTCAAATCATGCGGGCACTTCTCACAGAAATGGATCACCTTGCCTGTATGGCATACTCGGTATCGAGTAGTTTGTTCCAGATTCGCAGTTCCTCCATGAACTGACTTCTCTGCGCTCGAACTGCTTCAATCTCCTCCTCGAGTTCCTCGATGTAGAGCTCTTTCTTGTGCATGACCCTTTGCATTTCCACTTCATTCTGTTCATAGATCTCCAAAGTTGCCAAAGCAAAGAAATTAATCCTATTTATGGGTTTGACTGCCCACACTGTTCTTCTCAAGCCTCTTTCACAGGCTTTCTCTCCTCGCCATGATCTCCTTTAAGTAGTGCCAGCCAGTGTTAGGAACTCTCAATGATGTAGTGCCGCAACCGTCCAAAGATGCTCAACAAAGTGCGCAAACGACGAAAATCGTCCAAGACCATCCACTGCCTTGCTCATGCCCTTCTGGATCAACTCCTGTGGCCTCGTGCAAATTGGCCAAAAGCAGAAGCAGCCCAACATGTAGATTTTTCCCTTTCAGGATCTTCTTTGTTCCCTTTCGCATTCTCTCCTTGTGCTCAAACTCACCGAACTCATCCTCACCGATGCGGTCCCCAATACTGTTGATCATCTTCAGCATGAAGATGAACCCAAAGAGTCGGTTCCTGGTGAGGTTCTTTGCGCCAATGTCAGCACAATTCAGCTCTGCGCCAATCGCTCCCACGCTCAAATTTTTTTCCTTCTCCTCCTGCTGGTGTC